GACACAGCTGTGTCCGTTTACAGACAGTACATTTTGCAGTGTTAAAGTAAAAATTTAACACCAATCTAAGAGCATTTGGTCCCAATCTAAGTTAGTGTTAAATTAACTCCCTACATAGTGTATATCTTTGTGTTTGTTCCGAATACTCTATAGGATTCAATGAACTTTGAAGCAGTATATTTAACATTGTGGAATTTACTGTGAATGCAGGCAATTTGGATTTAAACAGAACAAACCCTTGATCCCCCTGAAATTTGTTCTTAAGGTTATCATACCATGAGAATTTCATAGTAGCCAATGCCCAATTATTATCATTTTTGCACAGACTTTGCCTGTCTGTCATTGCACCAATACCGCTGTCTGTTTCAGGTTTGATAAATGGCTTTGTAACTGGAAAATATGGCATGTCCTTTATCCAGTATGTGCTCTTGTTTCCCACTGATTTTACACATATAATGTATTTTTACCCCTGGTTGGTAGATCAGCTTTATGTGTGCAAATAAGTTGGTACGTTTTTACTTCTGCAAACTTTTCGATGATCAGGCCCTTAGGAGAATAATATCTAACAACTTTGTTAATTAGGTATTGAATTTTAGTTGTCTTCTTTTAATCTGTTAAAATAAGAAGAAATGTGACTGATACATCTTTTAAAGCTGTGTTGTACCAGGGCACTTACTATGATTCTTTTGCAAAGCTCTATCAGCTCTTTTAATTGCAACAGAAGTGCTAATAACTATGAGTCACAGCAGTTGGATTTACAGCTCTCTGGTCAGCCCGGCCATCTGTTATTGTTCTAAGAGGAAGGCATCCAGATTAACATGAAGATGATCCTGGACCTGAAATGTATGCTGATGCTGTAGGTGGGGATTTTTCTGCAACCATAATGAATACATGTATACAGGCATACTTAGTAAAAAAGCCAAAAGGTGAACTTAAATTACAACTGACATTGGAGACTGAGGACGCAGATATACAAATATTGCACTTTATATCCTATATGACTAAAATCTGTCCCACATATTCAGAACATGTAGATAAATGACTCACCAAGGGCATAAAGAAAATTGCAGTGAGCAGGTAGCCTCTCATTGTGCCTGGTGAAGAGCTTGTGTCCAAATGGCTTGACAGGATCTGCATATGTGAATTGTTGTTTACTGAAATCTGGTTCTTGGAGTCACAACAGCATTAAGGGCTCTGAAACACACAAAAAAGAGAAGAATAAGCATTAGTTAGAGTAATGCCTTTCCTGTAAAGGGTTAAAATTGAACATATTTGAATGCAATCATATATTTAAGCCCCACTGGATGAAATCAGCATGTCTCACTGGAGTTGTCCAAATATCTAAACATTAAAAGTTATTTAAGTTATGACTGGTAGGTTAATTGGCTTCTCTAAATTCTTTGTGAGTGTGTGTGTGTGTGTGTGTGAATGGTTGTTTGTAACACCGTTGCAACAATGTGTGTCTCTGTGTTGCCCTGCGATGGACTGGCGACCTGTCCAGGGTGTACCCCGCCTCTTGACCAGTAGACAGCTAGAGATAGGCACCAGCACCCCTCACGACCCAGCTTGGGATAAGCGTGACGGAAAATGGATGGATGGTTATTTTTCCCTGACAGGAGCTCCAACATTCAACAGGCTAAATTATTATTTGTGAATGAATGAAACCTGTCATTTTCTTTGAGGGAAAATATTACTTAAAATATAAATTCACTGTGTAATGTAAAATTATTGTTACAATAATCTGTGTCATTTTAAGCTGTTTTGTTTGCATTTTTTCATACATTTTGAGAAAGCAGAGCATTATTGTGAGATAGAGGGAAAAATGACCAAACTGCATGTCATTATGAATACAATATTAACTCCTTGCAGTATGTCTTTATCAGCTTTTCAGTACCTTCCGAGTATTCCCTTTCGCTGCACTTTTTCTATGTTCATTTTTGTTATAGCCATTTTCCACATGGTAATACATCCGTCTGCTTTCTCAAAATTCTAAACACAATACATCATTATGAATATGTGCAAATGTTTTCTTTTTTTCTATTGTTGCAAATTTATTACAAATATAGAACTATGAAATCAGAATTAAGTAAACTCAAAATTCAGCTGAGATGCATACTGTTTTCACAGATCATTCACTCAGAAATTTTTACAGCTCAAATGATGTCCATTTATGATCAATTCAAATGATTCAAAAGATAAACCTTATATTTATTTATTGAAGGTACAATAACACCATCTATAAAATCGAAGGAATTGTCTCTGGACCTCAGAGAAAAGATTGTAATGAGGTACAAATCGGGAAATGTATGCAGATAAAATTTCTGTTGGTTGGTAGATCCCAATAAGCACTGAGGCCTTCAGCATTTGTAAATGAAAGATGTTTTAAACCACAAGGCCAAGTCCTAGAGCTGGCCAAATGTCTGAACTAAGCAATCAGCAGAGAAGGGCTCTAATCAGAGATTTGACCAAGAACCCCATGGTCACTCTGTCAGAGCCCCAGTTTTCCTTTGTGGAAAGATGAGAACCTTCCAGAGGGACAACAGTCTCTACAGCGAATCCACTAATCCAGCCTGTTTGGTAGTGTGGCCAGATGAAGGCTCATCTTCCCTTGAAGCTAACTTCTTGCAGTATGAATGCATTCATAAACACATGAAAATTCATCTTGTACCGCTCCTGCCTCAGTGGGACATATAGCTGTCAAGATGCAAGAAATGCAGAGCTGAACCAAACAAATATAACCGCACAGGAGGAGCATGTATAGCTGCTGCTATGCAATCACATCTGTTCTCTCAGAATCCACCATCTTATTTTTAAAAGAGTAAAAGCAAGAGTAGTACAAGAGTAAGTTGTTTTGGTTTTTCATGAAGCCTTCTGTTTCATTTTTTTTTTATGTGATTGGCTAAGATAGATAAAAGACACCTCTCAATAAAATGCACAATAAAAGGCAGCCTGTCTGAAGTTTGCCAAAAGGCAACCAAAGGACTCTCAGACCATGAGAAATAAAATGATCTGGTCTGATGAGACAAAGATAGAAAGCTTGATGTGAAAGCCAGGGCAGGCATGTTAGGAGGAAAACCATCAAACCAGACACACACACAAACAAAAAAAATCCCCTCAGTGATGCATATGGTGGCAATATCATGCTGAGGGGAATGTTTGAGGGAAAGATAAATGTAGTAATGTGCAGAGACATCATGGTTGAAAACTTGTCCCCGAGCAACCTGGTGCAGCGACTCAAAAGAAACAGCAAAGACCTCATTGGAGTGGCTTTAGAACCCCACTGTGAATGTCATGGAGTTGTCAAACTGGAGACCAAATTTTAATCCAATTGAACATCTCTAGTGAAGTCTGAACATGGCTATATGCAGGTGTCCACCGCCTGATGGAGCTTGAGATGTACTACAAAGAAGAATGGGTGCCTAAAGCTGAATCAGCACTATATAAATAAACTTAATTTAGAGTGGATAAAAAAGACACAGAAAGACTTGAAACTACAATTGTTCTTAAATATGAATCAGCGAAATATTAAGCAAGGTTATAAATAACTAAGAGTGATTTCTTAGTTTTCTATATGCAACAAATATGTATCACATTTCTGACAAAAAAAACACTAATTCAAATTTTCATAATGCAGTATTGTGTGTTAAAAATCAAGAGAAGAGATTAATTTAGATTAAGTCTGAAATAGGGCTGTTGCAGAGCTATATGTGGAAAATGTGCTGTCATAAATACTTTCTGGATGCACCGTATAGTGAAATTAAAATGCATAAACTCAGACTCTCTTTACTAAATAGAAAACTTAAGGAATCAGAACTAAATTGTGTTTAAATCAAATTAGAAACACAATGAAATGTATTGAAATTTGCAGTTGCACTGTAATAAAAAAAAAAAAAAGTTGGAATGTTATTGATACTTTTGCAGCAAACTGCATAAATCTTTTTTGACTAATTAGGCTTATTCATTATGCTGATGCTTATTTTGGTAGAATGTTTACAAAATTGTGGTGCAGCATTGTATTTATTTTTTATTTAATTCCGCGATAACGTATTGCTTTGTAAATTACGAAATGAGGAAATGATTGCAACTAATCATGAAAATAATACTTTTCTGTGAAACAGATCGGGTCCAAAAGGATATATATATATAAATATATATATATATATATATCCATACAGTATATATATTCCTGCCTCAAATGGAGGAGTTCAAGTATTTTGGGGTCCTGTAAAAAAAGGAGGGATAATTGGAGCCAGAGATAATGAATGCCCTAGTTTATACTGTATGTACATAAACTAAATATTTACTCACTTAATGGACTTCAAGCTAAGAAGAAATCAGGAATATTGTTGATGTTCAGAACTATAGGAAGGTGAAGGAGTATGATTAAATAATTTTAACTTCTAACCCTTTCAGGTATTAGCATTAAGTCATACATATAAGGTATTTTTATGTGTTATTAATTATACATAATGTTTGCATGTGTTAGATTTGTAATTTTTTATTGGATTGTTTTAAATATAGTTCTCCATTCATTCATTCATTCATTCATTCATTCATTCATTCATTCATTCATTCATTCATTTTTATAACATATACTGTATTATTCTTTAAGCATTGGCCTGTATTTATTTAAAACCCTGCTTACTTAAACTTTAATATGGATCACCTGAAAAAATAATGAACTATCTTTGTCATAATTCTAAATCTTGCATGATAAAAAGGCATGGGTGGACACAGATGTTTTACATTAACTGTGATAACTGTTTAATTTTGCACACTGTTTTCCTGAATAAAAGCTTTAACGTTATTAAAAATAAACCAGAGGAATTCGAAACAGAATAGAAAAAACTCTTAAAGTAATACATCTTCATCTTGTTTTTGTATTTTGTGATATCTTTCTGCATTGATCTCATTGAGCAGCCATTCAATTTCATGAATGTAATAATGTCTGTTTAATCAAGACATTCTTAATACATTATGCACTGGTTCTGGACCTTCCTCCAGATGTTGCTTTTTTTTTTTTTAAAAAGGGAAAAAAAAAAGTGACTGAGTTATCAGACCCTGTCACAGCTGACTCATCGTCCGCAGGAATCCACACATAAACACACACACACCCTTCCCGGCATCTCTAGTGGATGCTCCTTTTTAATACAGTAAACACCACATTTTGCACTTTAAAGAAAAGGTTACTATGACTTTTACCCAGACAGACAGACAGACAGACAGACAGACAGACAGACAGACAGACAGACAGTATACTTGGTTTGGGACGGATCATCCGGAATTCCCACTAGATAACTAATTTGAGCAAAAAAAAAAAACTATATATATATATATCCATAGTGATGATTCCAATCTCCGAATAATGGGTTGGTAGATTTCTAATTATTAGGCACCTTGAAATCAAACTGTATTAGCAACGATTATTTGGCAAAAGTATTTTTTGTGTACTATTATAGCATCTCAACGTTGCAGCACTAATGGACTCATAGCTTGAAATTAAATGCAAATATGACGTCCATTGTATTAGAGATGCTTATTGGAAATTAGGCCTATATGTGTTTTCCTTCTATTTTACATCTTTTCTGGCCTCCTGTCCTGTGTAGTCATTTCAAACAGCAGATTGGTATTTTTCTGAAATAAATAAACAACATTAACACCACTGACATATTTACTTTAGCATCTCTTCCGTAACAGATGTATGCTTCAGTTGGTTGAACGTAACCTAGTGGTGGTTTTAATTCTCACTTGTTTGTCACAAAACAGTGCCTTATATATCAGTCAGTAAGGTCATAACATCATTCAGTTCCAGTTTGTAGTATTATTCATTTTAGGTTGTGTATTTTTTGCACAATTAAAACCCAAGAAAAGTAATGTGTGTGATGGCCATCTTAAATTTCTTTAAGTGATTGCTGCATTTTTACTAAATGTAAACAGAATTAAAAATCAGCTCATTCTTACACAACCCAAAAGCTTCCTAGTAATACTGTTCTTCACAAAAATCAAAACACTTTCAAACAAGCACTAGAATAAAAACACATGTTCTCAGACACACACACAGTCTTATTTTCCTGTGTCCTTTCCCTCTGTCACTGAATCCAGTCACTTCTACAGCATCTCTCAGAAGCTTCATCAAGTCATATATCAGAAAGTGCTGTGGGGGCAAACCCCAGAAATCTGAACAGTGAAACCAAATGAAAGAAAACAAAACAAACAGAACCATACATGTGCTTAGGAGGTTTTGCTGCTCTTCTTGCAATACATCAAACCAGGAGGTTCTCACAGCATTAAAATTGGGTTAAGTTAAAATAAAGCATATGTGTTTGGGATTAACAGAGCTCCAAAGCAGGAAACAGCTGTTGGACAGAACATCAAATCATCCTGAGGGCAACAATGAGCATTTGCTTTTCTCATAGCTGAAAACGTGTGAGTCAAATGGAAATCTGTGAAGCTTTACACAATGCTGCAATTCCAGTAAGTAAGTAAACTAAAACACATGTTGAGATTGAGATTTGCAAGAAGAAAAACAAATCCAGTCTAAGAAAAGATAACCCTGACCATGTACTGTGTCCATGTACTAAAGCTGATGCAGACGGACAGAGGAATAATCATTGGCAGTCTCTGTGTCAACTATAACTATAATTTTAAACAACTGTGTCACCCTACAGGGCTCCTCCTTAATGCATGAACATTTCATTTCTATCGTAACCTAATCCAGAAGAATGCCTTCAATTAACTCAGATGCAGTGCTGTAAACGTGTACTGCATGTCTCCACGCAAATAATGCAGCCTTTCTATCTGATTCCTTGATGAAGATGATTATCATTACAGTTATCCTTTCCAGAAATTACGGTGATTAAGCAACCTATAGCAGACAGCTTTTAAATGACAACAATGTCAGATGTGTGTCAGAACAAAACAGCCTTAATTACAATCAATGTGAGACAAATGTTTTTTTCCCCTCAGTGCTGCAAAATCAATAGGCTAATTTTGCCCTGCCCCGTTTTTTATATAGTAGATGTTAAATATATAATGCTTCCGGATGACCTTCACTTAAAAAAAAATATATATATACATATATATATATATGCTGCCCACTTAATCAAATTAATTCTGTGCATGTTCTTGCAATATCATCAAGATACATGTGGGATCTGAATGCTTTATTAGTTTCAGCTGCTGTTTTTAGAAAAAATCGGGGGGAAAAAGCAACTTACCAAATCACATGCTGAAATATCTCCACAGGAAGCCATAGGTATTTGCGGGTTTTTAGTCCGGAGTCAGGTATCACTGCGTCCTGCTGCGGCTGCTGCTGCAGGACCCACTCACCGCGTCTGCAGCTGCTGCGGCAGCTCGACGACGAGGAGGAAGATGAGGAAGAGGAGGAGGAGGAGGAGGAGGAGGAAAGGAAAGGAAAACAGAAGGGTGAACGTTCCTTCGGGGTTCGCACCTCATCAGACACGGTGGTAACAAACCGAGAATGCTATGCGTACAAATGACGGGAGCCAGCGGTGGGAGAAGACTGGAGAGCTGAAAGCATCGTCTTTCTATTAACATTCAGCACGTGGGACTTTTTCTAAAACGTAAAACTGATCGTCAAGCTCTCACATTCGATGCTTTGCACATTTACAAGGATAATATGATAAACAGTGATTGTGGGTCACACAGACCTGCATGTTTTTTCAAACTTTAGTCTGTCCTCTTAAAGCTTTGAAGGGGCGATCTTGGCCGTGGGTTTGTTTTAAGCACCACGGACAGCAGACCAAAGCAGAGCCTCAGAGCAGCTCTGATCTAAATCCATTCTGAACACTTAGAGCAGGCCAGAGGTGTCAAGTAATGAAGTATAAATACTTTGTTACTGTACTTAAGTACACTTTTTAGGTATCTATACTTTACTCCATTACACATTTTTCATCCTACTTCTGACTTCTATTCATTACATTTTCACACAAACAAACGTTACTTGTTACTCTTGGCTTCGGTTGAATGTTTATAAATATTTATTTCACATCATGTGCGTCATCCAATGCAGATCATTGGCTCCATCCACATCTAATGAAAACTAGTGTAGT